GTTTGTTTAATTTTCCCCCCTCCCCCCGCGAATACGAAAAAAATAACGTTAAACGAAACTTTAACTGCAAACGGCCTTATCTGAAGAATGAAATGGTGTGTACGAATTTGTAAATTTTGAAGAAGGAAATGATTTATACAAATCTGTACATCCGAAGAGTGAACAAATATGTGCATCTGGTTGGACAACATTTCCACATTGTAATGGTTCGTGAGATGAGATGTAAAAAAAACAAGCATATCGGATATGAACATATGTTTTAAAAATGCCATGAGTGATCCGATCGTAACTCCATAATCATCAATTTTCGATCAGATAGTAAACCCACATTATAAGAAGACTAGTGTTGTTAAAGCCTACCTGACAACATAATTTAAATGGTAAGTTACATGTAGCTTACATGATCCTTACGTAAGTTACATATAGGGTATTAAAGCTGGCTGAATCATATGACAATTTTTACCAGCATTAACATCAACTAAGTATATATTTATTGAAATTTATAACTTACATAACTTACTGTACAAGTAATTTACGTCAGCTACAATAAAACTTACATCAGTAACATACAGTAACTTACATGTAAAATAACAGACCTAAAGAAGACATTATAATTTAACACAGATAAAGGAAATGTTATATAACAATTTCTGAACTGTAGTTACGTGTCAAACCTGAAAATTTAACTCATGGGTACCGCATTAATTGGTGTTGGATTTTTAACCACTTACCTTGCGTTGTTAATACTGCAAATGTTCGGGAAGGTGAAAATGTCCCTTTTATAGGTACTTCTCTCTTTTTTTTCGTCCATTTTTCGGTTTGTTTTAATATCTTTCATTTAATTACGATTTCAGTTATAAAAATATGAAAAATTCTTAAAGCTAGACCAATTGGTTTATTTTAGTAATCCACTTCAGAAACTCTAGAATTTGAACCTAATTTGCTAATGCATCAATTGAGGATTTAAAGAGAAAGTTCAGACTAAAAAGGTGTTACAGTAATGCTGTAATTGACGCCCTGTATTATTTAATAAGGTTTGTGAAATAAATTAATAAATAATAGTTTGTATTCTTATGTATTTAATTTTATTTTAACTTTAAAAGTAAAGTTCCAATCCATTAAGAATTTATTTGGATGTCCATTCACTATAGATATCCGGATAATTAGATACGGATGAACGGATGACGGATTTATCCGGATTGGAACTCCATAAGGCATTCTCATTATTGGAAAATTCGTGGAAGATATGTTGTGATGGCAGTTGGACGTTCACATAACAAGATATTACATTTTTTGTATGCTAAAAAAAAATTTTAAATCTCTAATATATGTTAAAAAAAAAGCCGAGAAATTCGTCTTTTGAGACTTAACACATTAAACTATACTAGGTAAAATGCAGTTAAAGTATTTAATCTATTGAAACCAGAATTTGAAAGGTACAGGCGACTTTCTAAAATCTCAATGCTTGTTATGATTATTAAATATTAGAACTGTTGTGATTCAAACATTTTATCAACAAACCACAATTTTTTTAAATAGAAAGACTTTTTTATCTTTTTTGATTTATTTTTTACTGTTTTTACTAAATAATGAAATAAATTCTTGATAGAATATTATTTGAAAACGAGATCACATTAATAATAAGTGCTAAAAAAGGAACCACATTGTAGTTTAAAACTCGTTTTCGATATATAATCTATAAATTTATCAATATTTATTGTGAAATATAAAAAAAAAAAAGCCTACATTCTTGAATAGTTAAATGTGGTATATCATCGATGAATAAATTAAAAATACCTATATAATTAATCAAATTGATCGCTTCTTTGGATAATAGAGCTGAGAATATATCAAATACACCAAATTTCGAATTGAACAGTTCAATATTTCAACGCCAGCACCAGTTAAAATAGAAAGTAATGATACGATCCCTCCGTTTCTAGCAGACCAACTATTAAAATCTTCGTCATAAAGGTTCTCAGAATTTTCAAGATTCTCATAGTTTACAGTTTTTTTATGATTTTCTTTCGTAAGAATGAAAAGAGATAAAGATCTATAAAATAAGGGGGGGAAATACTAATCATAAAAGTGATTATTAATGTTCAATATTTAGAACAATTAAAATAAAACCGAATTTATATACTAATAAATATATCATTAAAGTCATGACCTTTATATAAATAAATAAAATATTCATAACAAAATCTAAAATTATTATTATCGACTTGATAATAGTGAATGCATTTCCCTGTAAACAAATATAGCATTCATTAATAATGCAGTTTCTTTTTTGATTATAACAATAATACATAAATCTACCTTAGGATGTTTCCATTTGACCAAAGAATAACACCAAGAAATATTGGAAGAATAACAATCATTCCATATATGTAATATTTATTTTCATTCCAAAGATTCGCTATGTGAAATTAATGTCAATAATAATATAAATGTGGTGTGAAGTTGTAACAACGTTAAATGAACAACGTGTTGGTTGAAATCCGTAATTAGCATCTAAAAATATTGAAAGATATTAATTTGCTAAAGAAATTGCGTCTTTGTAATTAATTAAGAATTCTATCAAAATCTGATTATGCAATTTAGGATCAGGGGTTATACAGCTTTGTTGGAATCAATCTATTCATATTTATTGGAATGCAATCAGCCAATTGCTTTTGCAATAAATCGAAAAATTCGTCTTTTGCTAATAGATTGTTAAAATAACTGGTTCCATCATTGGTTAAACGTAATGTCGTGGTGGTAGATTCTATATTCTGATAATGTACACTCTTTTTTGATGTAGAAACCACCCAAACATTTTTGTTCATTCCAGCGATTGGTTCATTATTTGAAGCAGCCTTAACAAAATTGGTTATCATATATGTTTGGTTTACATGATTAAAAGTACTTGAAAAAAATCATACACGAAAGTATCGATCCACTTATAAAAAAATCTTCATTGATACTTGAATTTTCATTAATAATTGAGCAGTATTTGAATTTGCAGGATATATTTGACGCAAATTACCAGACTGATGTTACCAGATGATCTAATAACATGAATTAAAAACATGATATTAAGGGTAATTTGTTATGAAATCGTTACCAAACTATTTCTCATAGGTTCGACAGATATAATATTCGAATTTTCATACATAAACTTATATCAATTGAATTTTGCAAGAAATCATGTATTTTCACAATTTTGTTAAACCCTTTAGTTTCGGAGAAACGTCGATGTTACACGACTGAACCTTCAAAAAATTAATTTACAATACCAGGCCATTCTGCCAGTACATGTTATTTTATTATAATAAAAAATCGGATTTGAAATTTTGTGACAAGTTGAATGGAGCATTGAAAGGGATATCGAATAGTGCCATTCGGCAGATCGAATTTTTTATTTTTTACCAGTGCTAATAAGTTCGAATTTATATAGTAGCATCTTTTTTTTTAAAAAAAAAGGGTTAAACCATTTACAGCTATTATCATAATTCCTGAAACACCTGATAAAAATTAGCCGAATGATTTTTCGGCGATTCGGTTAAGT